AGGTTGTGGGTTAGTTTTGAGGTATAATTACTTGATTTTAAACCATACATATCCAGGATTGTAATTTGGTTGAAGTTTGATACCTTGGTAAGTATGACTACAAAATCTGTCAAAAACAGGGGCTGCAGTTTCAGTTTTGAAACACTTACTTTGGACTGCCTTATCTTAAAAATTAGAGCACCGTTTCTATCAAATTTTATATGGTTTCAAAGTTTATTTAATCAACTTCAGGATGCATGTAAATTGGCAGATTTTTATTGAGTTTAGGATGTTTAATTCTGAGTTCAAAGTTTAATACACAGTAGCTGAAACTGTGTTAGTTTCTCTGATGGTGCAGGAGCAACAACAGTTTCCTAAAAGCTCATGTCAAGACATAAGTTGGTGGTTCAATTGATGAATGTCAAGGATCTTAGCATAGCTCACGTCAAGAGTAATCTTCAAGTAATTAATTTGATCTAGATTTCATGGTCTACACACATATTTTTCCTACTTGTACTATATAAAATCAATACCATGACCGAAAATATATAAATCCATCAGATTCATATATCTGATTTATGTTCTTTTTTTTCTAGCTTTGATTAAATGTATAGGAGCCAGAAGATGGAAGACTCCGATCAAGGTAAACTTCATTTTTACACACATCTACCTACTTTATCATAATACCAGAAACATTAACGTATCATAGTAAAATATGCAATTGTGCTCTTGTATCCTTTTCACATATACTTTCATGTGACTGTTATTATATGAGACTTGTATTTCATTATTTAGTTGCACTGGTTTCTCTGTTTTTGGTTATTAATTTAATAACAGCACTTACAGTGTCAATTTTGCAGTTAGAATATGATGACTTGTCTATTTTGATAGGATAATTGCTTGCTGTTTCTTTTATTGTTTCTGAGATTTATTGAGTAAAGGGTTTTGTTTTTGTTTGTTTATGTAGCTGTTGTAGCATGGGAATCAGGGACGCCAATGGTGATTGAAGGTTTATAAAGAGCCATCCATGTATGATAAATTTTTAATGACACTAGGGTCTAGTAAATATGTAATAATTTTAAATGTATTCATACATTTAAGTATATGGTTGTATTTTAAATTATTGTATATAGTTGTATCGTTCTAGTGGATGTACAATTTCTAATTTGTTTTTCTATTATTTTTTTAATTTAATAAACCTAGGATGAGATTTACATGTTACCATGTGACAACCTGCCAGTCATCAAAAAATGAATTAGGTGACATTGTTAAATGTCACAAAAGAAACAATGTGACAAAACACGAGAAGTCACATATTGTAAACAGTGACAAATTCATACATCGTCACAGTGTACTATATGTGACACTGAGTTAAAGTCGTCACATTTGACATCGGGTGAGGGGCCTAATGTGACGTCCCTTGTGACGCTAGAATATGGTCACTTTAACGTAACCGCGAGGAAATTTTGCCTAATGTGAGGAATTTTTTTTGTCACATTAGCCTATTTTTCTTGTAGTGATAAAAACTCCCTTTTAATTCTCCCTTTATGAGAACTAGATTATGTCTTTGTTCTCAAAACCCTTGTGACGCCAGAATATGGTCACTTTAACGTAACCGCGAGGAAATTTTGCCTAATGTGAGGATTTTTTTTTGTCACATTAACCTATTTTTCTTCTAGTGAATACACCAACCACTCCAATTAGGAACGAACTGCCTATGAAAATAAATTGTCCAATTTCTTACACCTATTGATTTCGGATCGAGCCCAAAACTTGGGCAACATCATAATATGGTGGGAGGAGTCATTTGGTTAAGGGGCCTTGCTGTCACGTGATAATTCGCATTTAATGCCTTTGGTCGTGATTTTGCTCGGCCTCGGCCTTGGCCTGCACTCGAGACCGAGATGATCATGCCTTAGCATTTCTCCTTTGTCTTTTAGGAAGGCGAAGCACCCTGTTGAAACGCTGCGTTTCAGTTTTACGAGCAAGTGCCAGGGCCGAGAAAAGGGACTCCTTCGGCCAGCTCATGACCATGATTTATTAGGCACAAACATTGCCCCCACATCCCTGGATTTATTAGGCTCATGGCCGTGAGAGAACCTGGACGCTTAGACGTCTAGATTATATTTGGTAGCTCAAGAAAATCAACATACATTATTAATATTGCTCAAGAGTTGAAAGATGTACAGATCGTTGGCTTTATCTGAAGTCCTGCAGTATAAGGAAACAAGTAATGGTAGTAACTTTTTTTTTTATACCGAGTATATATGCTATGGACATCAGAATAAGTTATAAAATTTTATTTGTATATTTAAGCATATTTTTAATTTCTTTTATTTTCTTAAGAGAAAAAAAAAGATTGTATTTCCAACAAGATACTAGCATGTTCCTGTCATATATATCAACTATAGGTGAATAAATATTGGAAGAAAATCATCGATTGATTCCTCTCAGTCCTTTCGGTTCATTCTTATTGTTCTGGTTACAAGTTAGTAAACATGTCATTACTATCTAAAGGATCACTAAATATTATTCCCCCAATATGACATGACAAAATAAGCTTTGGTTTTGTACCCAAATGCCAAAATGTGACTTTATAGTTAGTAGCATACCCTTTGATACTCAGAAGGCTCACTTAGTCTTACTCAACATTAATGGCATTTGAAAAACTTGAACAAGCAGGAAAGCAAAATGCTGGTAGAAGTTAGGGAAGTGGAAAGTCAGTGAATGAAAATAAATACCATTTGAACTGCAAAGCCGGTGAGCATGTTGCCTTTTTATACTAAGATCCTTTTCAATCTTAATGAAGTTGACATCAATCCCTCAATTAATAATTAAGTGCAAGCACATGAGCCTCCTAAACAGTTCATCTAACTAACTATAATTAACAAGGTTGTTGGAACTGATAAAAAGCACCAAAGCCAGCTTAACCAACTTGCAAAGAAGCTCTCAAGAATGAACCTATCGAGTAGGGTCATGACGACCATAGAACCCAGTAATTTGTGTAACAAAGGAATTATGAATGGTAACCCGAGCATCAATATGTCCCAAAGAGGATGAGAGCAACACAACCTGTAAACCAGGCAGGCTTCCAAAGAATACAGAGACCGCCAGAGAACCCTTCACGGGGAATACAGAGGACTCCACCACACCAAGTCTTCGGACCAATCCTCCCAACTAGATAGCAGTCATACGAGTCTCAGTAAGGAAAATAATATCTGGTGTTTTATCCTGTAAGAGGTTTGAGATCACGGAACATACGACGGTTAATACATTCATAGCAGAGACCAGAATTTCCACTCAAACCACCGAGCCAAGACGGATAAAAAAACCACAGCATGCGAAGGAGAAAGATAGAGATAGGAGATCAAAAATCCAAAGAATTACCATAACACTAGCACTAGCACGCTTAGGAAAACACCGGCAGGGACCCGGAGTCACAGAGAGTGAAACCAGCTGGTGGGTGGCGTAAGGGCAGAGAGCCCTAATTTTGACTGTGCTCACAATTGATACCAAACCAAACCAATAAAATCTCAAGGGACCAATCGATTAGCACCTGCGATGAGCCGGAGTGGAGAAGGAAGAGACAAAACTAGTCGCTCGTGGTGAGTCGTAAGGCGAGAAGGAGAGATGACGAAGACACCTATCGCGGGCAAAGGAGGAATGACGGCGACTGGACTCGTGGGTGGCAGGTAACCTAGAGGTGTAACCCTAGATATGACGTGCTCTCCTCGCTTAGCGAGAGATCGACCCTGGGAGCTAATTTCTTGTCTTTATTGTATTGTTATGGCTTGGTTTTTTCAAGCTTTATCTATTTTTGGTTATTATGAGTTTGCACTCTTAGTTGAGATGCTTATGCCAGAGTTTCTCTGATCATGCGTGATCGTTAGTGGTGGAGCCCCAAATTGTCTTAATTTTGATGTTAGATCGCTCCGTTATTGTAATGACCCTTTGTGGCTAGTGGCTTTTGTGGCTGAATTATGAATGCAATTCCAGAATTTCTCAAAAAGATAATATAAAAAAAACACATATTATACTATGAGTGTATGTCATAATTGATAAGTCATGAATATGGTATAGTATTAATCCTAAAAAAAATGTTATAGTATTAATTAATAGATATAGGTGTTATAATATAAATAGATTGGTAACATGCAAGGGCTTGTAGCTCAAGTGATAATCATCACACCGAAGAATGTCTAAAAAATATAACCTCGTAGCTAGTACCCTAGTAGCATATATAAGAAATTGTTCTCAATGTGTCCCTCACTTCACACCTCCTTGTGTTACTAGTTCTTTTCTTTTTTTGTCGAAATATTGTGTTACTAGTTCACATGTTACAATTGGTGAACGACATGATTAATTTATTAGGGACCCAGGGTTCAGTATTAAATAAGAATGCTTCCATTCACACCTCCTTGTCATATTTTCTCACACACTATTTGATGAAAATTTTTATGAGCAATTTGAGAGAACCTGGACGCTTAGACGTCTAGATTATATTAACATACATTATTAATATTGCTTAAGAGTTGAAAGAGGTTTTATCTCAAGTCCTGCAATATAAGGAAACAAGTAATGGTAGTAACTTTTGTTTTTACTGAGTATATATGCTATGGACATCAAAATAAGTTATAAATTTTTGTTTGTATATTTAAGCATATTTTTAATTTCTTTTATTTCTTAAGCGAAAAAAAAAAATTGTATTTCCAACAACAAGATACTAGCATGTCCCTGTCATATATCAACTAGGTGAATAAATATTGGAGGAAAATCATCATGGGAATGATTGATTCCGATTCTCAGTCCTTTCGGTTCATTCTTATTGTTCTGATTACGAGTTAGTCAACATGTCTTTACTATCTAAAGGATCACTAAATTTTGTTCCCCCAACAAGACATGACAAATTAAGCTTTGGATTAGTACCCAACTGCCAAAATGTGACTTCATAGTTAGTAGCATATCCTTTGATACTCAGAAGGCTCAATTACTCTTACTCAACATTAATGCCATTTGACAAACTTGAACAAGCAGGAAAGTAAAATGCTGGTAGAAGTTAGGGCAGTGCAAAGTCAGTGAATGAAAATAAATACCATTTGAACTTCAAAGCCGGTGAGCATGTTGCCTCTTAATGAAGTTGACATCAATCCCTCAATTAATAATTAAGTGCAAGCACATGAGCCTCCTAAACAGTTCATCTAACTTACTATAAATAACAAGGATGTTGGAACTGATAAAAAGCATCAAAGCCAGCTTAACCAACTTGTAAAAGTTGGATTTACTACGTCTATACCATTTTAGTGTTGCAGGGTTTTTCAATGCAGACCCGTCTTGCTTTCCAAAGGGCCCTTCTGGGTCTCTGGTTGTGCTTGTTTGCTGTAAGCTTCTGCTACAGCAATGCAGAGACTATTGAGGAAGCTGGAGAACAAGCACTAGACAAAGCTTATTCAGGTGAGATATATAATATATATAGAGTTCTTTCATCAGACCTCCACACATTATTACCTTTCGGATGCCATTGTAAACATGGAGGAGAACAAAGAGAGGTAGTAGAAAATACATAGCGCCCGCACGGTAATAACGTCCACAGGTCCGCATAGGAGAAAATCTGTGTGTATATATGTATTTATATGTGTGTGTATGTAATTATATATGTGTGTGTATGTAATTATATATTAGTTTTAGGCTACTTGATTACACTACAAATTTTCTTTTAGAAGGAAGCTACTTACGCTACTTGACAGCTCTCGCAATGTAGCACAATACAGTAACAAAAGTTACAAAACAGGCCCCTTCATTGCTCCTCATTATTTTGAATTACTTACTGAAATCTCTAGGTTTTGTTTTGTTTTGTTTTTTTGTTAATTGTTTTTCTGATAAGTAACATTCTTCTGCATCTCTTTGTGCACATGTCCAAATTGAAGAGCTGCAAACAGACGCTGCAGAGCTCAATGAAGAAGAGAAGTTTGTCTTTAAGAAACACCCTCTACCTAAGATTCCCATTGTAAAGAAGCCATTTCCACCAATGCCCTTCTTCAAGAAGCCACTTCCACCACCAGTTCCAATCTTCAAGAAGCCACTCCCTCCACCTGTTCCAGTCTTCAAGATTCCACCCTTCAAGAAGCCGGGTCATCCGCCGATACCAGTTGTGGAAGGAAAACCATTTG